TCAGAACATAGATCGAAAACTCTACGCTAGGAAATATATATACCCAGTTGTGGATCGAAATAGGCCAATCAGAAACACGAGCACATGACTGTTGAGGTTGACCAATCAGTGCCGCCCTCTAGGCCCTGGGACAATTTGCCCCCTTTCTCCTTCTCTGGGGCTATGTGTGAAATACTATGATTCAAACCAAACAATGGCTAGCTATTCCGCTCTAGGGAAATTTTTAGGCCCAATTTGCCAACAAAGTGAATGAGACAACCTTAATTTGCCGACAAGTTTGAAAATTGACCGAAAAGGCATCCTTAGATGTCAAAAACGCTTTGAATTCGACATCAAACATTGTTCAAAATTAGTTCCTCCGCTTGTTCTTAATTGGTTCTTAAACATTGACCAATTTATAGGCTCATGTTCTGATAGAGTTGTTTAAGAAAGAGTGAAGCATTCTCAGAATACACAGAGTGGTCTGCAAATTTTCTGAAGATTTTGTCCTTAAAATCCCCCCCCCCCCACCTAACAAAAGTTCTGACGCTACACGCTTATTATAAGGAACGCAGCTCAAGGTTTTTGCCTAAATATCATTTGAGTGCAAACGAAAGTAGGGGCTCTCATTTATTATTGACAAAATAAAAGTGAACTGGAGGAGCGCAGAATATCCATCTCCAAGGAACTAAACCGTTTTGAAAACGAAAGCAGGCGCTTTTTACAACTATGCAAAATGAAAAATGTCCTTTTGATAATACAGACATCCCCAAACACAAAAGAACTCTCAGCCTCGTTTTTGCACTGGGTACTAACGCCCAATGATATAGCCTCATGAATCCGGGGATAGAGTATTATCGACACAGATCTATGAAAAATACTTTTTTACAGATCAGTGGTTATAGACAGCTGCGGTGGCAAAATATATTACAGGGACTAGTTTCGAACTATATTTCTGAGACTAAATAATGGAGACCCTGGCACCTAGGGTACCTACTTTTGGACACTAATCCAAGCTTCATATTATCACAATCATTCTATTTATTTTACAGAATTTGTTAACACGCATGCGTTCTGCTTCCAGGACGGGGGCTGACACACTGTAGCGGGTGCCTTTTTACCACGATTTCATTTCGCACACATATAGGAATAATTCACAATGCCCTTTCAGGCAATGTAGTCCAATTTAAAAATTTCAAAAAGTAGAAAGATTTTTAAACGTTCTCAATTGTGACCTTGATCGCATAAGATGCTTGAAGTTTTTTGTTGCATAAATAGGCTTTCGAGCGACCATTAATTTGTGCGAGGAGCAATTCACTCTTGCAAAAAGCGTACGAGATTTTCCCTTAAACAAAAGGATTTCTGGAGACTTTCAGATAAAACAATAGGATTTTCACAAAAGGTGTACGAGATTTTCTTAGAGTGATTTGCCCCTCGAATTTGTGAGGAAGAGCTATTGTGTTTAGAAACGTTGCATAGAAATCGGCGAACTCATTCCCCATCGGTGTTAACGATTAACAGTTGAATTAATGCCAGTGGGCGGCAAAAGACAACAATTCTTGGAGCAACCACGGAGCAAGGAATCATGGATTATGAATACTTAAGGTATTTAAGAAATTTGGTTTTTGTTTTTGTTTTTGCTTTGTTTTATAATATCAGGCTATTTATTCTACCTTAATCTACGTTATTTTATAAACAATGTTTTCATTGTAAGTAAAAAAGCTTTTTTAAAAAGTCGAAAATTTGAAATCCTCCATGTAGATGGAGGGTATTGTAGATGGAGGGCCTCTTGAAAATCAGCTTCTCCGCTGAAGGGCCACCCTCTCTAAAGAATTTAAATGAATGAATGAAAAGAGGCTGGTTCAACAGGACACCTCTTTTTTTATAAGAACAATTTTATAAGAACACGAGCCTCAAAACTGGTCAAAAGTTAAGAACAAATTAAGAACAAGCTGTGGCTGAGCTTCTGCAAAATGCAATTCTGAACAACGTTTTTTCTCAAAATCGAGAATTTTTGGCAATGTGTGGGTGCTTTTTCGGTGAATATTCAAATTTGTCAGCAAATTAGGGGTGTCTCATTCGCTTTGTTGGCAAATGAGGCCTGAACACCTCCTTTGAGCGAAAAAGCTAGCAATAGCACTGCTTACACCCTCTTAACTTACGAACAAATTAAGAACAATCCAGCCACAGATTTTCGAAAAATTAAGAACAATCAGCCTGAACTTAAATTTACTGGTTCTTATAAAAAATAAGAGTGTATTGGAAGATGAAACGCTCTAAAGTACGGAAAGAGACCCGGTGTCCTGTTGAACCAGCCTCGGTCGTAATTCATAATCCATGATCCCTTGCTCCGTGGTTGCTCCAAGAATTTTTGTCTTTTGAAAAAAGCGAAACCTAATTAAATTGGTGGAACGCAAGATTAGATCGATTTTGGAAAGAAATCACGAAATTTTAAATAATGCAATAACCACAGAATTTAGAAGATTTTATCTGACCCGGAAACTATGATGAGGCTAGACGATGTTAAATGGTGGAACGCGGAATATCCAGCCACAGGGAACAAAAGCTGGCGCTTTCCGCAACTATGCAGTGATGTAGAATGAAACGAGGGGCAAATCACTCTAAGAAAATCTCGTACACCTTTTGTGAAAATCCTATTGTTTTATCTGAAAATCCCCAGAAATCTTTTTGTTTTGGACAAAATCTCGTACGCTATTTGCAAAAGTGAATCGCCCCTCGGAATGAAAAATATCCTTTTGATAATACAGACACCCCCCCCCCCCCAAACACCAAAACGGCAAATGGTTAAAAATCCTCGTTTATGAGATAAAATCTAGTTCAAAATTGCTTTTCACGGTAGCTCAGCCTTAGCTTGTTCTTGATTTGTTCTTATCTTAACTTATGACCAATGAGTCTCGTGTTCTTATAAAATTGTTCTTGAAAATGGCTTTGAAAAAAGCAAACATTTTACGACATACTAAAAGCTTTTTCGTCTGACACTCCTCAAAGCAAAAACGTCAGAATAGGTTCCGAAAAACACGATGGAAAAATATATACCCAGTTGTGGATCGAAATAGGCCAATCAGAAAAACGCAAGCACAAGACCGGTGTAATACTTTTTTTTGCGTGGTTACCAGAATCTGCGTGGGCTACTGCATCAGGGCAAGATGCATTATGCCAAACGCTGCGTCACATGACGGCAACTTCAAATCATTCTCACATCTACTTTTAAGTTGAATAAAACTTTGAGGAGGAAAATGTGGGATTATACCCACGCATGCGCAAAGATAAAAGTAAAATGAAATGTTTCAGGTAATCTACAATCTTTTTCTGTTACTCTTCCGTTCAGACATACCATTTGTGAGCGTTTTTGTTGAAGGAGACCACTTTATTTTAGACAAGAATCGAAAATAATGAGCCCACGCAGAAAAATTGTAAATGTTAAGTTTCAATTTATCTGCGTGGCCTACCTTATCTGCCC